TTACCAGCAGGCACACCCAGAGCTGTCTGGTGAAGACAGGCTTGCCAAAGCAAGCCTGTGAAGCCTAGAGGAGGACCTGCCTGGTCACTCACAGATGCAGATGCCAGCGTAAGGGGTCAAGTGTCACAAAGAATCAGGTGAACAGGGCACCACCAGAGGAAACCAATAAAGCTCCAATAACTGACCCTAAAAAAATGGAAATCTTTGAACTGTCAGACAAAGAATTCAGTTTAAGGAAGTTTAGTGAAGTACAAGAAAACACAGATTGACAACTAAATGAAATTAGGAAAACAATGCATAAACAACGTGAGAAGTTTGACAATGAAGTAGCAATCCTATCAAAAAAAAAAAAAAGAAAAAAGTAGAAATCCTGGAGTTGAAAATGCAATAACTGAATGGGAGAATTCATTAGAGAGTTTGGAAAGTAGACTTGACCGTGTGGGAGAGGAGCAAAGAGGAAAAATAAATGAGAAAGAGTGAAGAAAGCCTGCAGGAATTATGGCATACAATGAAAAGACACAATATTCGCATTATGGGAATTTCAGAAGAAGAGAAAGGGAAATGAAGTGTTATGTTAAACAATAGTGGCTGAAAATGTCCCTAACCTGGAAAGAGAAATGGACATGCAGATCCATGGGGATTGAAGGACCCCAAAAAATTGAACCCAAATAGGGCTACCCTGGGACACATTATAAACGTCAAAAGTCAAAGACAAAGAATTTTCCAAGCAGCTAAGAACTTGGCTACATTGTGGTTGGGTTTTTTTGTTTGTTTGACTTGGTTTGGTTTTGGTTATCTTTGTTTTCCATTGTAGAAAGCTTTGTTTTCCAGGCTTAATACTGTAAAATATGAACTTCTCTTACAGAGAGGCTTTAGATGTCTTATTTTCCATTTTATTTAAACTCTGCCTCTCATATATTCCTCTTGTGTTTTAAAAGATGAGGAGAAAGGTCCGTCCAAGAGGCCACTCTCTCCCCATGTGGTCACGTCGACCCATCGATGGTTAGAGCTGAACAAGAGTGAAGTTCGCACACACAGGATGAACGGTGTTCAGTAACTACTGCTGTTCCTAAGGAAAGATTAAAAGTGTAGCTGAGTCAAGATGGATTTGAATCTCAGACTTTCTTTTTCTTTCATGTATATGAACATCTGAACATCCCTTGTCCTTTAAGTTTAGAACAAGATGATTGACCTAATGTCCAACTGCAAAGCAGTTGGAGACCGGCCATTTTAAAACTTAAAAAAAAAAATTGTGTAACCATGAGGACATTAACATTTGTTAAATGTATTTGTTTGCTGCTGTAACAAAGACCCACAGACAGGGTGGCCTACAGGACAGAAATTAATTTTCTTACTGTCCTGGAGTCTAAAAGTCCAAGAGCAAAGGGTTGGCAGGGTTGTTCTTGCTGAGGCTGTGCAGGAGGATGTGTTTCTTTACTTGGCTTGCCGGTGATTGTCTTCTCCCTTCACATTGTTTCCCCCTCTGCGTGTGCGCCTGTGTCCAAATTTCCTTAGTCATACTACAGTAGGGCCCAGCCAAATTACCTCATTTTAGCATAATTACCTCTCAATGGAAATGAACTTAGTTACCCCATCTCCAAATACAGTGACATTCAACATTCAAATGTAGGCAAGGGACACAATTCAATCCATATCATGAAGTGACATCTGGGTCCCAAGAACGTGCTATGTACTTTCATATACATCAAAGTATTTGATCCTCCCAGAGTTGTCACACTAGAGGGACACTGTGGTCCCATTTCATAGATAAGGAGAAATTAAAAAGTAGCAAAATCAGGATTTGAACATTAATCTGTGTGATCTACTCCGTTATGCTGCTTCTATGTAGTATCCTTCTCAATTACTTTCTTCCTTTGTAAATAATGTTTTGAATCAAAGCAAAGCTCAGGAAGGTTCTACTCTATCCTTCTAGCCAGGAAAATTTATTTTTATAAATGTGTGCGGCTTTCTGTTTGGCAGCTGTGCTTCCAGTCCTGGGCAAGTGTGCCACCCTCCGTGCATCTTTCAACCTGCTCGACCGGGTCTTGGGACTTAAGTGTTGCTGCAAAGTCCAAGCAAGGTGTTAGCATCTGCCCTAGCGCTTTCATCTAATCAGTGGGTTGTCCAGTCAGGGGGATGTTTGGGTTGGTTTGACATGTTCCCTTATTTGGAAATCTTTAGAATCTCTCAGAGAGTAAAACTCCTTTAAGTGGGAGATTTGCCTCGTAAGTGCAGAGTCTCTCTTGGTTTTGCGCCGAAGGATGGAGAAAGGGGAGCACCCGTGTGTGTAGACAGGGAACTATCTAATGTGACACTTGCTGAGACAGTGGGAGATTAATGAGGAAAGATGTGCTATCTCCCAGAGTTGGTGAAACCATCTGGCCTCAGGTGTAATCAGGAGAGTAACAGACTAGGACAGATACAACGATTTTCATTACCTCATAATCATAGCAAATGAAACCGGGAAGTAAAATTAGTAAAGTGCTCGGCCACATCCACAGGTAGCTTGTGGTTGACTTAAACATTTAAAAATACATGCTCTTTACCAAATGAAAATGACACTTCTAGTAACATAGTGCATGTGTGCAATATGTCAGATACCAGGATTCTAATTGTAGTGTACCACTCACTACCTGTGTGTCTCAGGCAAATTAGTTTCATTAGATGTCAGTCTCTTTATCCATCAAACCAGCATGAGGTTTGAGTTGAAGGTCAAATGAGATATATGACCTTCATCCTATATTTGCAAACTATACAGTGCCATACATATGTTAGCTATTTTCATTATTATATTATTTTTTACCCAAATCTAACAGAATCCACAATTATGCTGAATTATCCAGTCTGATTCTCTAATTTACGAATTACCTAAGCTCCTCGTTTTCCTTTCCCTTTGCACTTCCTGTTTGCTGTTTAGTCCTTTAAAAATGTCCTAGAACTATTACAAAATAGGGGAAAGAGTAGTTAGGAATTGTTACTTTTTCATTAGTTTTTTAAAATATATTTACAGGTGCTTAATGGTGAGACAGTTGAAAATAGCTGAGTTAACAAAGAGCTTGTATATATACCAAAAAAGTGGCCTGTCACATTGTAAAGATGCCAGGGTCCTTCCAAGGAAATTACCTGTCTTCTGGTTTTAAAACAGTCCTGGTAGACTCCTGGTAGATGCTGACACTTTTAATTTTTTCTGAGAGCTATTAAAATTGTAGAACTTTTGGAATTATATTCCCATATCACCTTGATGGGCCAAATGATTGAATAGAACATGTGATAAGTATCTTTCCTCTCTGATGAAGCACCGCAGAAAACCCTGAGCTGGCAACTTGTGAACTGACTGCAGATCAACTCTCTTGAGTTTCTCTCTGGTCAAGCATCTGTAAGAAGTTCTCTTGCGGGTCTCTTCATACCTGCAAATAAAATACCGTGTCCATCCTATTATCTCTGCAGTAAATAGTACATTACCTCCTAGTTCACATTAAGAATGATTGCTTTTTGCCCAACACTCCAGAACACTAATGGTATCTCCTCTTTTCTGGGAGTAGGACAGTAAGAAACAGGAGGGGAATGAGATTCTCCTAGTATATGTGAGCATCATGAAAACAAAGGATCAGAATAGTGGCTGAGTTCAGGGGGACAACTTGTATAGACCTGGTTAAATACTTGGTTACTAAGAAAGCACTTTGTTAGTCGCCTGTAAGTCTTGCTTTCATGGTTTTTCAGATTCCCAGATGAGCTAGAGGGAGGTGGCTGTTTTGGGGGAGAAAAGATCTGTGAGCTAATAGGGTGCTACATTCCAATTTAATATGACTCAGGCAGCTGGTGGCCCTCCACGGTCAGTACTCTCTGAGCAAATCAGTTAATTTCAGTTATGTATCAGGATTTTAACTAAAATCTGGCATGTGATTAACCAGAGTGAACTAATTTGGTATGCTAGTATTTCTTTACTATGCACACTCCTTTACGACTGCTAGATATGATCAGGTGGATGCCAGTGAATCTATTATTCTGACCAATGCTAATCAGAGATAGGACTCTGATTTTAAAGTCAAATTCACTACACACGATTAACTTATTCTAACATTGTGTGCTTTTTGATGGTCTCATTTGCATGATTTTTAAAATATCCACTTCTGGCTACAATTTTATTATCTGAGTGTTCTTTTATTTAAGCTTTTAGAGGAGATTTCTTTTTCCCCTTAGGGTGTGAAAAGACTATCAATCTATTTGCAACAGAGGTATACTGTGGTTGAACTCCATATGACCATATGATAATCATCAATATAGTATATAGCATAGAAGTGGGAGTCAAAATGCCTAGATCCAAATCCTACCTCCGCCCCTCCACCAATGTCAAGTGCATGTAATGTAACTGTAGAGGTTATTTAACCCCATAAGCTTTATCCTCATCTTTGGATGGAGATAATAATAGCATTTTCTAGATAGGGTTTTGGAGGACATTCCATTAGAATGGTACTTACATCAGCCAGCTTTTGCTAGGTTAAAAAGCAATAAAAAATGAATCTTAAGTATCAGTGACTTACAACCACAGAGATTTATTTCTCACTCATACTCATGTCCCTCAGGAGCTAACTCAGCTACTCTATTCCATAGTCTTTTCATTCTGAGACCGAACTGGCGAAGCAGCCTCTGCTGGTCTCATGACAGAAGGAAAACTCAGTGTGGCTTTAATACTTCCTACTTGGAGGCAGCACATGTCACTTCCATTCATATTTAATTGACTAAAGTAAGCCATATGGCCAAGCCTCATGTCAGTGAGTGGGAATGACCTTCTACCATGACACACAATATATACATTGACTGGAACATAGGAAATACTCAGTGAACAGTTGTTAATTTTAAATCCTTTCTACAAAAGGTAAGTTATAGTTTGGGACTACTGTTATCCTTTGCTAAGACACAGAACACTAATATTATGTGTTTGGCAGATGGTTCTCTAAAGAGCCAGTTGTGGTGCTGAATGCTTCCTTTGACATTTCCAGGGAAGGTGGTGTACGGAGAGCCCATTGCAGCATGTCTCGGCACGGACGGTACTCACTACTGGAATAAAGAGTGGCACCACGCAGCCCACTATGTTATGGGCCCACCCCTGCGACCGGACCCATCAACGCCAGACTTCCTCATGAATCTCTTGGCTAAGTAATCATTTAGCAGATGACTGTGAAGTGTTTTTCCAAAATAGGGTGTTCTATGAGTCTCAGGTTAAATGTACGAGGCCTTGTCCTGCCATCTGGACCTTCCATTCACCTCCCACTATTCTGTTCTACTTGGCCTGTCAGTCCTTTGGGAGTCTCTCACCTGGAAGCCAAAAAACTCTGGTTTATTTATGATATGGTAACAAAAATCTCTCCTGGACAAAGAGATATCAGATAATTTTGGCTGAAATATTACTATTTTCTGATTTCTTCCTTGTCTCTTCTATCTCTTGTTGCTTAGTGCCAGGTCTTTTCATTAGGCCTTGTTGTTATCCTTCAGAATATTCTTGAATATTTTTCTGTGCTAAGAAAACCTAGGAACCAGATGTGCCTGTTGTATAGGTACAGCAGGTCATGATCCGGGGCGGAGCCACCATAAGCGTGAGATGCAAAATCCTGCTCTCAATTAGGTTAGCCCCATGAAAGGCCACCCAAACTGTTTTCAAAGATGCACCTTTCTGGGATCTTATGATCATTTTTCTTGAGAAATAACACCATCCATGGGTATCTGGATACACATGGTTCACAAATATTCAGATCCAAATTAACAAAGAGCTTTTCACAACAGACTGTGCAGGAGTACACTTGCTCTTTCCTGTCAGCCTTCCTCCTTCGTATTCCTGCACCCCAGAGATGACGCACAAGTCAGAGCAGAATTCCTGCCGCTGGTGATGCCAGCACCCTCAGCCAGTGTGCCACCTTCGCTCATCACAGCTCTGCTGTTTGGCCAGGGGCTGCCCCTGTTTCCATGTACCACCATAGCTCATCTTTGTGTAGTTCTCTATTCACAAGGAATTTTCACTTACATTATTGCCAGGGACCCTGAAATAATTGCTATCCTGTACATGTAATTATCAATTTCTAGATGAGAAACCAAAACATTGGACAAACTCATAATTCCAGAGCCAGTAAGCGATGGAGCCCAGAACCCAGTTTTTCTGATCTAAGTGTGATCCTGCATCACGCGTCTTCCTATAATAGAGACTGTGTGGAGCAATGTGCATACTGAGAAAAGCTGTTCACTCTCCATGGCAGCTCCCTGACTTTCAGCTGAGAAGAGCATCAGGAAATCAGGAAAGATTATGGTAGCTTCCTCCTGACGTATCCTACCTGCTCACGCTCATCCGTCTTGTGTGTTTTTCTTTTACAGCGATGATCTCACCACCACAGGGACTGACAACTGCACTTTCAACACCTGCCAGAAAGCTCTGGGGAAGGATGATTTTACTAAGATTCCCAATGGGGTGAATGGCTTGGAGGACCGGATGTCAGTGATTTGGGAAAAAGGCGTGGTGAGTTTCGCCGGATCCAGCCTGCTTTGCTGACTTCTTCAGTCAGGATCTGGCCCATTGTAGGACCAGAGTGCCACAGGCCTTCACATGGAAGCTTTTTGGCTGTTTTTACTAGAGTGGAGACTGAAAATGTGACACCACCTCATCCCCCAGGACAATAATAAGAATAACTTTCTTCTCTGAATAGTTTAGTTAAGAAGATGCATTGCACCACGTTGGAGACAGTAGAGGATAGATTTAGATTGGGTACAAAGAGGGTTATTCTTGAAGTCTTTGAAATGCTAGCATTCTTCTACTTGATTTCTCATTTTTTTTTAATCCAAGTTCCTCATGTGTCACTGGTATAAATACTTGGAATGATTGAAAATATATGAAGTATCTTAACATGTTCATATCCCCTTTTCACAAAATCTTTGTAGATAAACCTTTTAAGAAACTTTGAGTATCATATTTTAAAAACTGCTACATGAGGTCCCATAAGTAATAATCCAAAGTCTAGAAAAAGAGATTTTTGTAAGATTTCCATAATTTAAAAATTTCTCCCTGAGGATGGAGAAGAATCAAAAGGCTATATGTTCGTACGTTAACTTCTCCAGCCGGGTGATGGGTAGTTGTGAAGACCATCAGGGGAGACTTGCCTGGTTACTTCTGCGGTCAGCATTGTCATGTCATGCTCACCCATCCCTCAGAAAGCCTCCCTTGGGTAGTGCACTACTCGTATCTCACATCTCAGAACACCTACACGTACCACACACTTTTAACTCTAATTGTTTACCAGTCTTGTCAGTTTTATTTCCCATATGCCTCCTTATTTCCATCTTCATGTCTACTGTTCTAGTTTCAGGCCCATCTCTTATTAGGACTATTGCAGTAGTCTCACAGCCAGTGCCTCTGCCTCTAGTCTCTCACTTGCTGCAATCTGTTCTGTATCCCAGTACCAGAGTTGCCATTCAGAAATGAAGGTCTGTTCATGCTACTTTCCTCTCTAAAATCCTTTAATTTTCTCCATTACTTATAGGATGATATTTGAGGAATTAATTTACATGTTAGGGTCTCCAAAAACATCTCTGAAATAAAGCTCTATCGTCTGCTAATTTTCCTCTTCACCCCCTTTTACCTCTACCCTAACTCTTATCATCCCAGAGGGTTTCTCTTCTCCTTCTTTTTGCTTAGATTTTCTTGATAACAGTTCAGTGTTTTTTTTTTTTGACCTTGTATTGTTACAATGAGTATCTTCATTACTATACATTTTCATCATACATAAACTGTGTAAATGGCTTTAAAGTAATCAGATATTTATTAATAACATATAGAAAGCTGTATTTTTTTCTGGAAACATTAAGGTGACTTACTTATGAGTTTATTATTTTTAGAACATGGCCCTTTTTTTGAGACAGGGACCCTTTGATAATTAAATAAACCTTAAGGATGCTCTTAGCAATATAAATGTACATGGGGATAAACTCAACATTAAAAAAAAATCATTTTACAGTGATCACATCCATCCAAAGTTTATCCGTGTTAAAATCTCTTGCAATGACTACCCATGATTGTTAGTTCATGTAAATTTCAATAGCACAAATTCGAACCTCTTGAGTTGATTTTTCCTCTTTCTGAAAGCATTGTCAACTGATTTAAAGGTCAATCTTATTTTAACTCTGTAATATTCCATCTATATGATCATCTCATAAATCTTAAGTCTGCAGATCATAATGTAGTAGGTGGTGGTAGTAAACTTGAAATAAGGATAGAAAATACCACTGCCAACATTTAACTGTTGTTGGTGTGATTCTGGGAAGGACAGGAAAAGTTAGAGTGGTTGTTTTTTTAAGCTAGTAGGTTTGTGGAAAGTTATCTTCAGGCTTCCATATGTTACCACATCATTCCCCTCATTATCAATATGATTACTTAAGATTTATCAGCATCAACAGATGTGTTTGGTTTCACAATATAAAAAGTTAGGTGCAGTTCTGTTTGATTTTAAGAGATATAAGTCTTATACTTCTACCAATAGGAGATGTTTTTGTATTTGACCATTAGAGCAAATGCATTTTCTTTCTTGGATTGTTTTATAGCATAGTGGTAAAATGGATGAAAACCGATTTGTGGCAGTTACCAGCACAAATGCAGCTAAAATTTTTAATCTCTATCCAAGAAAAGGAAGAATAGCTGTGGGGTCAGATGCTGACATTGTGATTTGGGACCCAAAAGCCACAAGGTAAGACTCAGTTCTTGTATTCCTTGGTTTCCCCATGAAGAAAAAGCACTTAACTTGCAAAGAAATTGGCCCTAATCAGGCGATGTATTTAGCCATGCTCAGGTATTTTGAGATTGTGCACAAATTAATGGTATTGATATACAAATATTCCTTTGTTTTCCTTGGCATAGAGGATGTAAAAGTTGTGTTGCTTGTCATTCCATGGAAATGGATATATGTTTAAAACCAATATGAATTTACCACTCCAGTGCTTGGCAAACACCTGAGTTCACATGGAGGAAATGAACAGAGCAATGAAGAAAATAAAAGGCTTAGTTTGAAAAGGACTCAATTGAGAACTCGAAATAATTACAGCCTTTTTAAAACTTTCAGATAGAAAAATTCCAGTGCAAAGGGTATCACTTTTAGTCAGCCAAATTTTCCAGTTGAGTTCATCTTGAACTTATCATTCCCAGTAGACTCCAGCTTTTTGTTTCCAATCTCTGTAATTCTATGTTAATACTGCAGCTTTGGCAAATTCCACCAACTCAGGAAAGCATTCAATAGAGCCTGAAGCTCTGGTAATTTCTCCTTATAAGATGTTAGCACTGATAACACCTGCATCCTGATTTGTGTTTTTCATAAGCTTTGCAGTTGCAATGAAGAAAATCCCACACACATTTTGAGTATGTGTGTGTGTGTGTACACTCACATGTGTGTAAACAGGAACCCATAGGAACTTCTACCTTCATTGAATAGGTATTTATTCAAAGTTTATTAGGTTTTTCTATTACAGTAAGCAAAATCTATAGTTCTTTGGGAGGTGATGTCATCACAGAGACCCAGTTTCAGTTGATGCATTTCTGGGGTACCCTCTGGGGAAAAGAAGACCTTCAAAGAAGCACTAGGCCACCATTGCTATGAGCCCCAGATATTTCCTTAGATGACACCTGTCTTTCTGAGCTTAACATTGTCCTCTGGACACTCATTATCCCAACTCGAGCACCAGCTGACGTACATAACTGGCTGCTCATGGTCATTGCAAGTAGCCTCTAGTGAACGGCTATCACTTTGTTACTGACTTGTAATTCATGCAATGCAGCAAATGATGGTATAAACATTTTATTTATGTAACTGTCCTAAGATATCAGCAAGGCACAGCTCAGTATCATTGTTATGATATTAACAAGGAACTATTGCCCATTTAAGAACTAAATATCTGCCTTTTAAATGGTCTAGATTTCTCCCCCTGCATAAGAGATGAAGACAAATAAAACCAAATGCAGGCAGCATATCGACCAGGCTAGAAAAATTGTCCTTGGAAAGATAATGGAGAAAAAGATGGCTTGGATTTGGATTGGTCTGTGGATGAATTGAACATGCTGTGTTTAGAGAGCTCCTGGTATCTTAAATGACTCTATGAGGGTTGTTGTATGCTCAGCAGAGGATGCCCAGGTATGTTTCTGCGGCAGTTCAAACAGTTTAGGCTTCTCCAAGTGCTGGGACCAGATAGGTCTTTTGAAATAACCTATGGCAAGGAGATCATGAGACTTAATACAGAAAACCGAGAAATTCAAAAAGGGTAAAAGCTCTCATGTGGAAGAAATATCTGTGGGAAATGGCATTTTTGAAAAAAAGCATCCGAGAAAGTCATAATAATGATAATAATTAGTAATAATTTGCATTTGCACAGCTCTCATTAGTTTTTAAAAGGGCTTTGGGTATTACAAGAAAGACAATATGACCACCTTAGGATGATGAGAAATCTATAGCCCAAAGGACCTTCTGGTGTAACAGGTTTGATACAAGAACTCTGATACAGGGTCTTTGACTTGGCAAACTCATGGTATGTTTTTCATGAGCTTCGGTACCAAGGTATCTCCTGATATCAAAGCAGAACACTTTGTATTGTACTGGATTGTTTATGTTCCATTCTGTCTTCCAATCAAGTAGGCCAGTAACCAGAGCTCTATAATTCCTCTTCAAAGGTGTGGGAGACATGAAAATACTCTATAGTGTGCTGTGACCATCCAGTCTCATTTCTGATAATGTCAAGGGCCGAGGGAGGCAGTTCCCCGTGGCTCTTCTCTTCCACCTTACACATGGTTGTTGCCAGCAGTATCCACCGTAAGAGTCTCCTCAGCAGTTTTAATTTCTGAGGGTGATACCAGCTCAGGAGCAAAGCATTGTCTTCTGTAGACAACTGGACAAAGAGAAATGACCTCAACCTAAGGGTGTGAATAATTCACTTACTTTATTTTCCACATATATTATTGCTTGGAGGATATTTATAGGCTGTGATTGTGTCTCTTTGAGTCATGTTTTTAGACTATATAAATTTAGACCACTTTCTTGCAAGTTTTAGCTACTGTTTTCTGTAACATTGCTTTGTCCTTCCCATCCTATTCGGTTGTTTCAGAAGAGCAAAGAATGATCCAGATGTTCAGTTCTTGTTTTTTTAAGGTCTGTATATCTGGGGGAGTGGATTGACTGAGAAGGAATAGGAGGGAACTCTCTGGGGGGGTGACATAAATATTCTATATCTTGAAAGGGGTATGGGCTACTGGAGTATATTCATCATTATCAGGATGCTATGAATTTTGATTTGTAAATTTTACTGTATGTTAACTTCACATTTCAATGTCTGTAAAGAAATAATGAACTCTAATAAATAGATTGGCTTTTGCAGATAAAAAAAAAAGATCTATATATTACCTGCCTAATTTCCTTCCTTTCCAGTTAAGAATAACTAACTTAAGGTCAAACTAAAAAGCTTTGGTGCTTGTAAGTTCCTTTCTTTCTCTTCCTCTTATCAGTTCTTTAATATTTCTTTGTAATACCTGTCCTTCACTTTATAATCCTAATGGCAACAGAAAATTCAGTGTTTACATTTTTGTATATGTGTCTTTTTCTAAGTCTTCTTCATCTCCGTCTGCTTTTTGTGCACACCTAGGTGCCGGGCATGATGAAGGCCAGCAGCGACTGTCTGCAGGCCTGATGTGTAGGTTCTGGTCCAGCTAGGGGACCGGGGCAGGTCATTTAAGGTCTCTGACTATCTAGTCTCTTCTCATGTATAAGATGAGACTATTAATAATTGTTATGTCTACCTCATAAAGTTCTTGTTAAAAATCACATGAGATAATATATGTGAAAATGCTTTGTAAACCAAGAAAGTGTTTCACAAAGCCAAATATATATTATTATGGTAATTTTCTATTTATCTAGTTTGGTTGGTGTCATTCTTTACAGTATGTTTTCATTTTTAGGTATTCTTGGCTATTTGCCTGCGGCGACCAGGGAGGCAGATGAACCATAGGGTTCTATTTCTCTGACCCTCAGATTATCTTTAAAAACTGGACACCTTTTTGTTTTATGCTTCTTTTTTTTACTGTCCTTTTGAAAAATGTAGAAATATTATCCTTTCTTAGCAGGATGTATTGAAACGATATAGTCCCCTTTGAATTTATTTTACTCTTTCTACATGTTGTTTGTTTCTCCAACCCTTCATCTTAGGAATTCTCTCTAAGCCACCATCAGAATATTTTGCAGTGTCATTATTCATCTTTTTCAATGTGAAACCTGCAGAATATGTGGGAGGCAGGAGAGAAGGGGCAGTTGAAGAAGAGGCTTCATAGAATAGTGGATATGGAAGAATGTGGATCTTTGAACAGGAAGAGAATGCATTTATCATGGTTTATTTCAGTTTGTGGAAACTGTATGCTGATTCCTTATCTAGACTGACCACAACACCCACTTTCTCTATTCTTAGCCTGGTTGTTATGAGAAAGTTGCTTATCTGGGCTAGCTGTTCCTGACCAAAATTTATGCTGATGACCTCAGCGAGGACCTTTCTGATGCACCACAATATTTTTAGCCTTCTCTCACTGTCCATGCATCACCCACAGCTTCCTACTGCCCTCAGCCACTACCTCGCCACCGTCACACCTGCCTCTTGTCCCTGAGCAGACCGAGTCCTGGGGACCGCTGCACGCCCACTTGCAGTTCTGTACCACAGTTTTCATTTACTGTTTTCCTCCCTCATTAACATTCTTGAAGCCTAATACCATTTTGTAAAATAGCTGGTTTATTTCAGAATAGTTTCAGATTTGCAGAGAAATTGCAAAGACAATACAGAGAGTTCCTGTATACCCCACACTCAGGTTCCATTATTATTATAGTATATTCCTATGGTACATTTGTTATAATTCATGAACCGATGCTGATATGCTGTTATTAATTAGATACCATATTTTACTGAGATTTCCTTAGTTTTTGCCTACTATTCTCTGGTCCAAGATCCCACCCAGGACACCACAGGACATTTACTCCTCATATTTCCTTGGGCTCCTGTGGTCTATGAGTTTCTCTGGCTTTCTTTGCTTTTGATGACTTTAACAGTTTTGAGAAATAGTGGTCAGGTATTTTGCAGAATGTCTCTCTCATGATTTTTCTGATGTTTTTTCTCATTATTGGCCTGGGGTTGTGGGTTTTTGGGGAAAGACCATACAAGTAAAGTACCTTTTCATTATATCTTTCAAGGGTACATTCTGTCAACATAATCCCTCCCTGCTGATGGTGCCCTGGATCAGCCGGCCCAGGTAGACTGTCAGGTTTTCCACTGTACAGTTACTCACTTCCTCCTTTTCCATATTGTACCTTTTGAAGGAAATCACTGTGCACAGGTCACACTTAAGGAGTGGGGAATTATGTTTTAGTAGATCCTGCATCCCCAGGGCCTGGCTCACTTCAGCACAGAGTAGAAGCACAGTAAATGTTGAACAGGTGAGTGAGAAGAACACAGCTTTCCACATGCATGGAAGATTGCTATGATTCAAAAATGGCATAAACTGCATTATATACTTGAAAGTTGCTAAGAGAGTAGATCTTAAATGTTCTCACCACAGAGAAGAAATGGTAGTTATGTGACATGATGAAGGTGTTAGCTAATGCTGTGGTGGTGATCATTTTGCAATATATAAGTATAACAAACCAACATGTTATACACCTTGAACTTACACAGTGTTT